GTATGCAGAAACCAAAGTGAAAGGAAATGAGCGGGAATGCGCTAGCTTGCTTGTAACCGTAACCCACTTAATGTACAACACAAAACACCGAAAACAGGCATCGGAACAGAGACCAAGTAAAAGGGCGGATTTACACGTAAACATGCAGTGTAACAAGAAAAAAAAAAAATCAAGCGTCAGAGCAAACGGCAAGAGAAGAAAAAACTGAATCTCGCTTTGTTTTAATGCCGAAGCAAACCCACGTTTCGCACTTCAAAGGAGTGCGCGCGAATGAACGTGGAAGGCAGCAGGGTTGCCCGCCTGCTAAACAACCTCCTCGAACTATAAGAAAACAATACCTGATCATCTTTCGGTGGCGTGCGAGTACACGAGTTATCAGAGCTCTGCGAGTTGTGAGCAGCCTCCGCTCCAAGATCTCAGTCTGTGCGCGCGTGCATTCTCTGTGCTTGGTGCCTGGTTTCTTGTTTCGCTCGGGTGTAACGTCAGTGAAGGCCGTCGCCCTGCACGTCCGTGAAAGCCGCCACCCCCCCCCCCCCCCCTTTCCCCTCTCTGCCCTTTGCTTTGACGCTTGTTTTTTCGTATTGCATATAAGTCTCTTAGGACTCCACGCGAAATAGCAGTTTCCCGCTCATTTTATTTCTGAGCAACTGACTCGCTGACTGGCTCAATTTAGCTAACCGTAAGCACACACACACACAAAAAAAGAGAGAACCGTGCCCATTCCCTTCCCATTCCATTCCGGGCAAAATGCCTCTTATTCCACTCTCCTTCTAATTCCTCTCACCGGTGCCGCCATTCCATTCCCATTCCGCTCCGGCCTCACGAAAATGCGGAATGATTCCGGAATTATTCCAACTCCGGAGTGGCTACTCTGCAACACTGCTGCTTTGCATTGTATATAAGATATTGAAAGAGTTGATTAAAAATACTAGCCTGAGGGACAAGTTCTACCCCGCACTCAAGATGCAAGTGGTCATGAAATCGAACCGGGCAGAAAAGGGGACTGAACCCAGGGTCATGACTTCTGCAGAACGGGCTTTTGCTGCGCGTGCTCCGTGCTGCCGAGCGCAAGCAGACTCGGCCACCAATCGGAGAAGTAAAAAAAGCTCAGAGCGGAGTGTGAAACAGGATCATATTAGCATACTTCTTTACTTGAGAGCAAACTAACAAAAACGCACCTGACCAAAACGCAGAATTACATTTTAATATTGATAAGAGGATATGAAAGTCGTAAGTCATTAGTTTGTAGGAAATAACTTAGCGAAGACATCAAACACATCGAAAGATTATTTCTTGCAGCTCAAGCACATTGTTGCCCAAAGTACGATGGGGAGTACACGGGATACACGCGGCTTGTAGTGTTGTGAAAAACAAAAATTTTTAGTGTCGTCCAAGTTTGACTGGCCCTCATCGGGCAACAAAGACGCATGGGAAGGCGCCAGAAACCCTACGACTAAGAGGAATATAGAATGGTTAAAGCAATAACCATAATGTATTGTCAAAAATAAAACTATCGCATGACAGCAAGAAGAGGGACATTAGAAAGGGGAGCAACAGGACTGGAAATAGGTTTGGTTGCTGCATCTCTATTCGAGACAGGAAAGAAGGTGTTCCCCATCTTGTAGACGTGATTTATAAACATGTGACGGATAATGGGAGACACATTCTGGTGCTGTATATTGATGCGTGTATCAAATCGTCATACACGAAAGTTCCATTGCAGTTCCACGCAACGCCACGCGCCCACTCAACGCTCGAAAAATATGGTTTAGCTTCCACATGCATGTCATTATGCATTCAAAACTACTCTATGAACCATCTTAGAGGCTCTTTCAGGCAGAACAAGTTGAGAATAGTAAAGTAAACTTGTCAACCAGGAGCGCAAGTTTAACATATCTGGGTGCCAATCATGGGTCTTAGACTATAGTACCGAGATTATACATATTGAAAAGGTAATATTGTACGCTCTGCGCACTGTCTAAAGATGAAAACTGTACAATAAATATTGATAAAATTGCTCGCAATCAGGCTGGTGTCGCCAAGTGTGAACATGCCGTTTCGCGCTGGGAATTATTCAGCAATTATCGCTGAGAGTGTCAGTCTCTGGTGTTCACCTTTGTCCTTTGTCCCCCTCGAAGGGAGGCACCGAATCGGGGAGTGTGGAAGAAATTTCATCTTGATGTATGGGGAAAAATCCCGCTGCCTTGTGGTTGAAAATTAATAGCTCCGTATAACGAAGTTACTATGGTCTTTTAGACCAGGGTCAACCCGAAAAAAAAAAAAAAAAAAAGGCGGCAGAAAACTTTATGTTTTTAAACATACAAAAAATAAATAAAAATATAACCTTTTTAAAACAGGCGAGTTTACATTCCGGGACTATTATTAGTCATCGTGGAGTGCTACGCACCGCGAAGCCATTGCGACCTTTCACATTTTACATGAGTAAGACATGGTTAAAATAAACACCTCTATCAAACTATGCTGTTTGTGCGGATATTTTAAAGCAAACACATATTTCACCCTAAGCTTCCGTCTGCAAGCTATCCACAAGCTGTGTGCTAAAGTGCGGAAAATTAATTTTCTATGCGAACGACACAAAAAGATTACCGAAGTGTTTTTGCAATACACCGCATGCAATATTTGTTGTAAATTTAGTTTTATTAGATGTAAACGTTCCCTTTGAAAATGCAGAGTGCCAGGCGAAGTAATGAAGAAAATACATGCACTTGTGGCGACAGCTAAACTTTAGTTACTAAAAGCCGTCGTACGATCGGGACGTTCTACAAGGAAGAACCTTCTCTCCCGAAGCTGGGGGACGGGGAGGGAAAGGGCGAGTGAAAGATGGAAAGAGCGTCGAGAGAAAGAGATTTGTTTCGGGGCCAGCTATCCTCTCGAGAGGGAAGGGGGGGGGGGGGTTATGGACTAAAGCTGCCGTAGGGGTTCCCGCAAGCAGGTGGAACAGACCAGGCTTATCAAACGGCGACCTCGGATGCGGGGAAGGGCACCTCAGAGAATTTGAAAATAGCCTTCCCGGTTGTGGTCCTTGATGAGCTGGACGACCCAGTGCGGTCTACAGGCTTTAGAGGGTGACTTAGATGAGGAACACTCGTTTTGGGCCAAAATTCTACAAGCATTCTGGAATGTGAATTCTGGCCACGAATACAAATAACACAAATGTATGAAAATACTATGAGGGCACATAAGCTTTCTGCTATGCGTGAGCATTATTTTTGGCCGAGGTATGTTGGCCCAACGAATAGCGCTCTAGCACCACGATCAAGAGGGCCTAGCTTGGAAGCCGGGCCGGGATGGTTTTTTTCTTGTGTTTTTGTTTTCGTTCTCTTTTTTCTTTTTTGGTCCTGTGACCAGGTTTTTTTTCGTTTTTTTTTTTGTGTTTTTTTTTCGGTTGGCGCTCCTTTTCGCAAAATTCTTCGCACCTATTTCGTGTTACTTTGAGTTTCGCCAAATCATTTTTTTTTTTCATGGCAGAGGACTCTGCCGTCCGTATGTTATGTCACTATTCCCAAACCTGGCTCGATATTCACATAGACAATTTCGTCCGGAAACCAGTTTTGGAATGACGTGGCAAAATTTGTGTTGATATTTTTTTTTGGTTTAATCATAATTACGGCCTCGTTGACCGTCGGTCTTTATGATTAGCTCTTCAAGTATCCTTTGGGAAAGTAGACACTAGACATTTTTAGAGATCACGTGTGTCGGCCAAAGCGAACATTGCTGAAGCGCATTCTGTGTGATTTTGGCCGTAAATAACTGGAGGCCCCGGGCAAACCTACGCAATGTAGAGAAGCATCTACCTCTCTGGTTTCATACAGAGCTATGAAAGCCAAAAGGGACAAATCCAAGATGAGTAAAACAACCGGCTTGCAAATGCAATCATGTTGCTAATAGCGCCAAAGAGTTTGTATGACTCTTTCTGGCGGTGTGCAGAGAGTGAAGTTCCGGAGGTAATATATGCTTTTGCCTAGTCACCTGACGAATGGTTGGATATTGGCTGCAAAGATCCATTTCGCTTTGTTTTATTACCGTGATTATATTTTCATTTTGTGTTCCTAATTCCACAGACAGAACAATATGGCTTCTCTCGTGTGACATCACGGCGGGGAAAAAAAATCAATCAGTGTACCAAAATTGTAGCGACGCTTGTGCTCGTTCTATAGCGCTTCTAAAAACCGTGCGATCTCGGCTCTGCAACGTCAACATTGCATAAACTGCCGTTATTTATACTCGTACTGCACCGCGAGGAAACGACCATGACTGGGTAAACAGGAGCAGGGAGAATGGGTGAGTGTGATTTGTTGAATTTCGATTCAGCAAATCGAGCGTCAACGAATGCGATAGTATTCGATTCCCTCGACCACCTATATGAGCTTTCAAATGGAGCATAGAACGGTATACATCTTCCAAACATGCGATTTGTGTTCTTTCAGTGGTACCTGAGCCAAATTCAAAAGCAGCTTCAGCGTTGCTAAAAAAACGTTTATGATGACTGGAGCAGCAACCCGCGTCGAATCACGTTTCACGTAAGCATAATCCTGTGTTCGACGCACGACGAGGTGTCGTCAATCCCAAAAATAGTTTGATTACGATTATTTGCAGTACTAAAAGTTTAAATCCAAGCAGCGAAGACAGCGGCATTCTTATAAATACTATATACATTTTATTTCACATTGTTTGAATACGCTTCCGTCGTTAAGTCCTTGACTTATTGGCCAATCAGGTGATGCGCAGGGTTTCAGAGGCTGAAAAAAAAAGGTACAATTATTTAATCCATGGCGTGTAAGTGCACCAAAATAGTGGCGCGCATGCGCAGTTGGCGAGACGTTGACCGGAGCGCGAAATTACCTCCCTAATGGAATTTAAAACTGACGACCGTATTTGAAATTTATTTTTGGGGCGTTACTTCTAACTGCTACGCTGCATCAAGTTTTCGGTCACGATTACTGAAACAAAGCATAGTTAGAGGAAGCTATGGGTTGGCTTCAGGAGCTATTTTCAGGGATGGACTCGTCCGTTGCTTGGCTGGACTCCTTCAAGTCTGCAGTTTCAAGGACCAGGCGACGAATCTTCTGGGTGAAACTAAAATGAAAATAATTTAATTCCGAGCTTGTACTGTCGACACAATTCACTGGTCTTGGACATTTAGGTTTTACATCAAATAATATTCGAGATTATTACTTGAAACGCTGATTGTAACAAGAAACAGACCTGATAAGAAATTATATCTAGGTCTCCCTTATATTGAAATAATCAGCTATTCGGTAGATTGATGGAGACTTTATGTTGTAATAATTTCGTTGGCCGAGATAATTCAAAAGACCGCAGTGATTGGCTCTCCTAGTGCTCTGCCTAGAAATGAACCCGTGGGGTATGCTTAGGGGCATGCATGTGCTGATTCATAAAATACATGCACGAAGCAAGATAACCAGTTGCAATTACCACAGGACCTATTAAGGTCATTAGATCATTAGTTCAATTTCAAAGGCAGTTCGTTTTCTTTGGGTATCACCGACTATATGTAAACTATCTTATATACGTGCTAACATTTTTAGTTTTTTTCGACACATATTAAAGAGAAGCTTCCTCCCGTAACAACTCAGAAATGTTCACCAACGATAGTTCTGAAGTAGTTTGTCGTGAGCGATGGTCATACCTAAACTTTTGTTTTTCGTGTACTTCTTTCCCCCTGTCAATCAGGGTGACAGGTGTCTTTGATGAAGTAGGTCGACGTATACTGCCGACCGACATACTCATTCCAATCCAGGAGTGCGAGACCCTGTCTGAGGTTGTAGGAGCTGTCCGTGTAATGAATTCGCTTGTCTGCGTAGATCAACATGGTGTTATTGAAGGGCTCCACGTGGTAGGTGTCTTTTGCTTGGACGTCGTGCCCAACATTCTTGAAACTGCTGTCGATCAAACAAAAAGAGGAGAGGAGATTCTCTGTGACTGGATCTTGGATCAACAGCGAACTGGGAATATGCCCCAGTGTCTTACAGGGAGAGTAATTCACACAGTTGGAACGGCGTCCACAACAGTCGTCAACGCAGTTCAGCAGCTTCGTCCTCAGTTCGGTAACGCTACCACCGCACGTTTCCATTGCGAAATATATTGGTTCCTCACCACCTTGCACTTATCCGAAAGCTCAGGGTGCCACGTCCTATCTTCACTTCTTTTGAGGCCAAACGCTATCGTCTTTATTCCTTTGAAAGTTCCTGTGACGGAGTACCATCTTTCGTTGGAGTTCGTTGTCTCATTGCGCTCCCTGATAATCTTGATGGCCGTCGTGTTGCTGTCATGCGAGTCGTCAGTAACTGAAGTGTTCCTTTCATCGAAATACTTGTAGAGCTGTTGCGTTCCAACGGCTTCGTATTTTTGTGCTGATGACTCCTCTTTTTTTGGTAATATTTAATATAGCGACCACCTTGTGTGTCTTTTGCCCTAAGGCAATAACGTCAGTATGGAACAAATTTTTTCTGCAGGCGTGCTTGGTGTCCGCTTCGATGCTCAGCAATGTCGTCGAGGATTCTCGCTGATCTGTTGACCTCGCTTCCTCTTGCTGAGTGGCTGTCAGTGACTCCATTACTAAAATCTCTACCGCAGCACCAATCTGCATAGTGAGTTTGTCGAGCGCTCCACGTGAATACGGGACTCCGCTAAACATGCTAAACACTTTAAATTGAGTTCTCAAAATCCCACTGCGCACAAAGGCACCTGACACAGAGCAGTCCACAACTCGCAGATCTAAAACACTGGAGCTCGAATCTAAAACTGAAGTATGCTAATTCATCTCAAATCTAGGCGAGCTGCCAATTTCCTTTGTGTAACCTTGATGATTGCGACATCTTTTGGGCATAAATCAGCACGATCTTGGACAGCTTTGACCGTGTTGGATAGTGTTGACGAGTCGCAGAGTAAAAGTGATGGTTCCTCGCTGGCCCTCTACGCCACTAGTGAAGCAGCCTTGTTAACTTGCCGGTTCTCATCATCAACCAGCATCTGTACAGATTTTGTGATGACACTAGCAAACGGTTTATCCTTGTGTGCATGCTTCGCCTTTTTCAGCAAGTCATAAAATTTGTTAATTTCTTCGTCACAGGAAAATGTCAGGTTTAGAGTTTTGCGGAAGCTCTTTCGGGTGCAGATAAACTCCGTTCCATCGCTCAAAGGTTTTTTTGAAACAAACAAAGAATAACCTGATGCTTCTTCGATCTCTGCTACCGCTGGTAAGGCGCTGCTGTTAGAAAGAACGGCACATATACGAGCAAATACCCAATGAAATATTGCAACGTCTACTACCGACAACCATGAGTTGGACCTGACATTTCAATAAAGGCCGTTTCATAAGTAGGTTCTCAACATTTCTTAGAACGCTGTTTTATCAAATCCCTTTTCATCGAAGTCATTTGGTGGCCGCCTTTTCATCGAATACTTTTCAAATCAGTGTTTTACAACCCCCTCTTTGTAATTGCGTAAGGCGGTATACTGTTCACTGTAAGTTAGATGAAGTAGAAATTAAAATTTTATAATTTTAGTTTAATTACTTGAATCATCAAATAAAAAACAAAAATGTTTTATTCTACTTTCATCGCGGTATGACTAATATTGGTTGGACGAAACGTGCATTTTTTTCTATAAAACGGCGTCGATAAAACGGCGTTCGACAAAAATGTCCGGGAACCAACTACGAAATACTCAAAACGAGGCCTAATTCAGTAATGGCCTTAAACAAAGCATTTGGGCAATAACTTCAGAACACGAAACGTGCCCTGCATGGCTAATGAGAACTTCTTTGTCTCACAACAGTTTCAACAAACGTCAATAATTCTAGCAATTTATCTCTGGGTATATCCGCGAGTGAAAAAAAAGTTATTGAGTTAGTGGCGGACAGGGATATCTTACAGGACCATATGATAAGACCTACACTAAACCTGCCGTGCTTCGAAAAATGCTAGTCCAATGCATACAAGCGTGTTCAAGGCGTACGTAGTGTTGAGCATCCGGCAAAACGCCTTCGGTCGCTGCCCGCGGCGTGTTTTTTTTTTTTTTTTCGTTTCTTTTTTTTTTTTAAGCAGCAAAATAATTTCTAATTAAGCAGCAGGCCCCCTCTTCGCGCGTTAAGCAGAATCAACGGAGGCGTCTCCTAATCCATTCTCCGTGTCGGCCCCTCGGGGGAGGGCGGTAAAGGGAGGAAAGGAGGACAGGAGAGGAGGAAACATGAAAAAGTGGAAAGCGCGAACTGTACGTCCGCCTTTATTAGGTGCGTAAAACTAAAGTGCGTCACTATGATTGCCAAAAAGGCCCCCGGCCACTGTGGCTAGCTGCGCAATGTGTAAACGTGCCCAATATTTGATTTTTTTTTCTTTTTTTACAAGTAACCATACGTATAGATAGAGTAAAAATAAATGCGTAGACTAGACAGCGTGCATTCTGGAGTTTGCTGAAGCTTGTGGGAAAAAGGTATGGTACTTCTTCGTCGAGCATACAAAGGGTGCTTTGCGCCGTAACATCAGATCTTCCCCTGGCGTCACGGGGCACAACATTTGTATATTTGGTGGACAGTGCCTAAGTTAAGCCGGCAGGAATCGCGTGGGATTGAGGGAAAATATATATGCACCTTGTCATTTGCTTTGCCAAATACTCGATAATTCTAGTTTGCGCTGCTTTTCAACCACGCTAAATTATTACAGTTTGAATCAAGGAATAGTGACTTCTGTCATAACTAAGGTTCTTCTGATGTACCGACTGAGAGGTACACATTGATGGCTTAAGCGCTGTCGAGCCGTAGATTGTTACTCTAAGAGGTATGCATGAAAAAATCCACTTTGACTGGAGGTGGCTCAGAGCTCGAATGCGCTTGTAAGGCACGCATTCGTCTGGTACCTCACGTTATCTTGCGCTCAGGTCAATACACCTTCCGTTTAAACGTAGTCCTCGGCAAATACCGAGTACCACGATGTTCACTGTGCGGACGTATTGACAGAGGCACATTCAGACCTGGATCTGTAAGCTGCGAGAGCGGTGATGATTGTCCATCCTGGCGACCCTGTTCCGCATTCGACATTGCGCTTGGCTCAGCTTCTGGTTCTTTAGCCGGTGTGATGCCTCGGTCAGTGGCAGGCTTTGCGTCAGGTTCATTGGAGGTGAAGTCATCAGCAGATAGTCCGATATGTCACTACTGCCCCTTGGGGTAGAGTTTGGCATTTTGCATTTCTCGCTTCGAATGTGATCAATATGTCGCCGCCAAACATGTCCGTCTTCAAGCTGTACCTGGTAGGAGACATTCCCAACTGGCATAAAAGCTTCTCTGGAAGTCAGCGGTTTTCGCTTCTGCTGAGGTTCATGACAAATGCACGGTTCCCTGCATGAAGTGGCGTTCGGAATAACAATTGTCAATTAAAAAAGATGTCTCCTTGAGCTGAGTCATTGTCGATAGTTTAGCTGGGTGTAGCTGATTCAATTCAGAACAACTTTATTGCCTGATTTCGTTGCCTGGGCTGTCGCCTACGACAAGACGATTCTCACACGTCCTCTTCTGCTTGATCAGCAAGGAGCCCAGCTCTGCTATGTCCTTCTCTATTGTGTTCCACAGCTGCTGCTTAACGACGGTGCGCCGTTTTCTGCTAAATGTTTCCAGCACTTCCAGGCCTAAGGAGCTTTGTGATCGTCAAAAAGCCAGCTGTAATTGACGGAGTGCCCGGCTTTCTCGCTGTCCTGGCCTTGAGCTTTCTTCTCCGCCTTCTCTTTGGCCTCCCTCAGCATCTCCGACAGACACGCTTTCCCGTCGAACATTGACCGCTTCTTACGGAGAAGGGAATAGTTCTCGGTCGATATGTCCATCATCTTTTTTCGATAATTTCGAGGGTAGCAAGTCCGTCTCTCAGTACCTTGGAAACAGTGGCCTCGATTGCCTTTGTGAATACACTGACTCCACTCAGGATGCCGCCAACCGCGGAATTATTTGCCTTGTCGCCAAACTCGACCGGTGCTTCGGGCTCTGATCCGGTAGCACTCTCGTGACTTGGACGTGTAATGTCGGCTGCATTCGTTTCTGTATTCTGCTTCTCTGCGCCGTGCTGGGCCAGCTCCTCCGGACTCGGAGCTCGAAGAGTCGACTCGATCTTCTCAACGAGAGTGCTGGTACCCTGAGAGACTTTGATTGTTAACGTGCTGACTGGACGTTGCCTCCGTTAATTGGACTGATGACTCTTGCCGAAGCCTTAGTTGATTGGTTCTTTGACTTCTATCACTTTAGCATTAGCATGACTCTACAGGACCGAAAACAGTTTATCCTTTCCTGCTTCGTCTGCCTTTGACTTTTCGAACGCTTTCGATCAGTTATCTTGTCACGTACTCAACTTCGGAGACCTTCTTTGACTAGCAATCTCGCCCAAAATTTCTCGGAGCTTTGGCACGTTTTTGAAGATGCGTCGCCGTCGGTTTGGTATGCGCCACCCCCCACTGCTTCCTTCATATCACCCTGTTTCGATGTTGTTCGTGATCGCCGCTTTTTCTTGTTTTTCTGGTCTTTCATGTCTTAATCGGCACTCTCAAACGGTTCTTCTTACTCTGACGTAATCGGCCTTTATAGAGCAAAGGCAGAGCAATCTTGCGATACTTGAAAAACTTGGGTGTAGCGGAGGGGTCGACATCTACACGAACCGGAGTCGCTTTTCTTTTCTTGGGTCCTATGTAGTAAAGCTCGGGGAACTCCTCCACCATATTGTGAACCGTAGCTGTCTCGGTCTGACGCAACGACGCGTCGGCTTAGATGACTCCCTCCAAGTTGATGCCCAAGGACCGGAACCGGTTCTTGGGCATCAACGTTCAAGCAGACATTAGCCGAATCACCTGGCGACCATAAGTTACAACTTTATGAACAAGGAGAAGGATGCTATCACTGTTTCTGCTTGTTGCCAGAGCAGTCGTAGGGCATGTGGATGGCGGTAAGAATCTTGATTATGGTTCAAATATGTGTGCTGAATATGAGATGTGCACTTCCAGAATGTTATTCCGTCTATGCGTGTTGCCAGAGCGGCCGTAAGGTGTGGGAAGGGCGGTAATAATCCTGAATATGATCCAAAACACAATGCTGGAAGT